CCCTATACATGTGCATGGCCCTATTGGTTCCGGTGAAGATGCTGTAGCTCAGAGCCCCTACAGACATCTCACTAAACAGCTTTTATTTGTGAGCTTTTATGTTAGTTTTCTGTTTGCCCCAACTGTTATCTTCTGCCTCAATCCTTCCAAGTGGGGTCTTCCAGACAGGTGAAATAATGACAATTCCTTAGGCAGGAGGCTTTGAAGAAGTTCCATCTATGTTCTGCCTTCTCTGGTGGCAGTCAGGCTACTGTTTTTTGTTTGTTTGTTTTTTTTTTTTTTTACTCTGATTGTGAACTGTTGTCAAGGGTACTGTGGAACCTGTGAGAGTTGAATGGGGAATTGGGCAGGTGAAAATGCCAGTAGCTGGTTTTTTTTTTTTTAAATCAAGAATCAGATGTTTTCTTTGAATAAATTATTCCTGGATAGGTGCAAGCTTTGTGTGAATTTCCAGAGTTATAAAAAAGTTGATTATGACAGTTTTTGCCAGTTTTACCCTTGCTTTTGTTGAGATGAGAATTGTTGAAGGTCCTTACTCCTCCAATTTTGCTGTGATCAACTACTGTTTGGAACTTTTACAATGAAATATTCCTGGAGACTAAGCAAACTGGAACTCCATTTATATTTTTTCTAGTAGACAACTTAATATTATATTCCAAAATAAAACCCACCATTTTTTAACTTTTAAAACTGAACCGTAAAGAACTGAGTCCCTTCAAGATCTCAGAACTGTGTCAATTCAGGATCCAACTCTATATAGCTTATCTTTCTTATAGAAATTTGCCTGAATTAACTTTGCTACTTATTTTTATTTTTTATTTTTTAAAATATTTTATTTATTTATCTTTAGAGGAGAAGGGAAGGAAAGAGGGAGAGAAATATCAATGTATGGTTGCCTTTCACATGTACCCTATTGAGAACTGGCCTGCAACCCAGGCATGTGCCCTGACTGGGAATCGAACCGTGATCAACTTTGATACTTATTTTTAAAACAAAAGAGTCAAATTACATTAGTAGCTGAGAAGAGTAAGAAATAAAATGCATATTCATTAAAAGTTTAAGATAATAATCAAGAAATTTAATTAATGGAGGCAGTGTATGTAAATATAAAAATATCCTCCAATCAGAAGCAATATCTTAATATGAAAGAAGATGTTCTGAACCATTTAGGAAAAATATGCCTTTGTAAGAATCTAATAAAATTTGTGGAATCTCTTCCTAGGAAAATTAACATATACATAATTCTGCTTACAATTTAAGGGGTTCTTAAATATTCTGCAGCCTGTGCATTAAAAACTCCTACTGAAGGAGAAAAAGTATGATTTTAATGGGGAAATAGAGACCAGATATTCAAATAATTATAATATTACATCTTCAATGGAGTAATGAGTTTAAAATATTAAAAACGTAAACGGCCAACTAATATACATATTTCATTTCATTTCATTTATTTATTTTTAGAGGGGAAGGGAAGGAGAGAGGGAGAGAAATATCAATGTATGGTTGCCTTTTGTGCATCCCCTGCTGGGAACTGGCCTGCACCCCAGGCATGTGCCCTGACTGGGAATTGAATTGCGGTTGTTTGGTTTGCAGGCCCACGCTCAATCCACTGAGCTACACTAGCCAGGGCTACACATTTCATTTTAAAAGCTAATTTGTACATTATATGTAGTATTACATATGCTTTCTCCTTAAAAATGTTAGAAACAATAGCTGGAGACTGTTAAACTGTAAATCTCTTAAGAGTAGACACTCCTTCTATTTGTCTTTGTATTATAAAGACCTATCGAAATAAATAGCACACCGTAGTTCCCAGGTTAACCTTTACAAAACGTAGTTTTCTCAATCATGTATTTGAATACAAATGCATTAAGAAAGCAGGAAGAATAATGTAGAGGCAATGACAAAGATCAAATAAACCACAAAGAAATAAATAAAATAGGAAAGAAAAGAATAAAGAATAACATGTTAAATTATCTGTTGCCTGTGAGACAGGATTAATTAGGAGAGAATGTCATGGTAAATGTAGATACTTTTAGATATTCTTATTTGAACTTATTTAAACTTTTTGTTGTGTTAAATTTCACTTGAAAATGTTTCTTCCTAGTATAGCATCTCCTATCTTTAGGCGGGAATGAGGTCATTTTTGGACTCTAACAATTTGCAAATTGACTGCAAAGGCAAAGGGGATAAACTGTTTTGCTGTAGTGGTGGAAAAAGAGTTTAAAGAAGTAGGGAGTGGGGGGACACTGTTCAAAGAGGGGTAAATAATAAAATAGTTTATTACTTATTATATATAATGTATCTTATAATAAAATGTGTTCAAATTAGAATTAAGTAAACTAATGTGAAAATGAATAATAGATGGTATGGGAACTCCACTGCAAAAAAAAAAAGTGGTCAGGGAATGGAACAGAACGGAGACCCCAGAAATCAACCCAACTCTCTACAGTCAATTAATATTGGACAAAGGGGGAAGTAACATCAAATGGAGTAAAGATAGCCTCTTTAACAAATGGTGTTGGGAGAACTGGACAGCTACGTGCAAAAAAATGAAACTTGAGCACAGACTTACACAATACACCAAAATAAATTCAAGGTGGATAAAAGACTTAAATATAAGCCATGACACTATTAAGGTCCTAGAGGAGAACATTGGCAAGAAAATCTCAGATATTTCACGCAGCAACATTTTTACTGATATGTCCCCTAGAGCAAGGAATATAAAGGAAAGAATAAACAAATGGAATCTCATCAAAACAAAAAGCTCCTGTGTGGCTAAAGAAAACAGTATTAAATTAAAAAGACAACCAACTGTATGGGAAAACATATTTGCCAATGATACCTCAGACAAAAGTTTAATCTCCAAACTATACAAAGAACTTACACCACTCCACTCTAAGAAGACACCCAACCCAATTAAAAAATGGGAAAAAGACTTGAACAAACACTTCTCCAAGGAGGACATACAGAACATTCAGAGACACATGAAGAGATGCTCAATATCGTTAGCTATCAGAGAGATGCAAATTAAAACCACAATGAGATACCACTTTACACCAGTCAGGATGGCTATCATAAACAAAGCAACAAACAACAAATGTTGGAGAGGTTGTGGGGAAAAGGGGGTCCTTAGTCCACTGTTGGTGGGATTGCAGACTGGTACAACCATTATGGAAAACAGTATGGAATTTTCTCAGAAAAATAAAAAATCGACCTGCCTTTTGACCCAGCAATTCCACTGCTGGGATTATATCCTAAGAATCCTAAAACATCAATATCAAAGAACCTATGCACCACAATGTTCATAGCAGCACAATTTACAATAGCCAAGAGTTGGAAGCAACCTAGGTGCCCATCAGTAAATGAATGGATCCAAAAATTGTGGTACATATACACAATGGAATTCTATGCTGCAGAGAGAAAGAAGGAGCTACTACCTTTTGCAACAACATGGATGGAACTGGAAAGCATTATTCTGAGTGAAATAGGTTAGGGGTTGAAAGACAAATACCATATGATCTCATCTTTAACAGGAAGCTAAACAACAAAACAAACAAGCAAGCAGGAAAAAAAAACAAAGACACTGAAATAGAGAACAAGGGGATAGTGACCAGAGGGGAGAAGGAAGGGAAGTTAAGGGGAAAAAGGGGGAGGGATTTGGAGGAACAAATAGGAAGGACACAGGGACGAGAACTAAGGGGGGTGGAAATGGGAGGGAGATGGGGAGCAAGGGGCGGGGGAGGCTGGGATGGGAAAAATAGACAAAAAACTGGACTTGAAAAATAACTAAATAAAATTTTAAAAAATAAAAAAAATTTAGGTAACATAATTTAGTTGTAAAGCCTGATTAGAAGTAAATTTTAAATTATGCTAAATTTATAAAATAATTTGTATTAGAAAGTAATAGCCAATTTTAAAGTATGAAACCATAATAAATAAAACCTCTAAATCTTACCATAAGATTTGAAAGATTAAAGCACTAAAAATTTCAGTTAGTGATTTTTTTATTAGTAACAACCTCCAGGAATCTTTTATAATCAATATATGGATAATAATATTTTGAAGGTTTGCAAAAGCACTGATATTTCAAAATAAGGATCCCCAAAAATATCTGCAGGAACATGTTAACTTGGAGCTTATATTGTGTGGACTTCTACTTTCCAAAGTAGCATAAGTGGATAAAATATAAATAGGCCACTCTGCCTTAGGTTTTCCAATTTAAACTGTCAGCTGCATTGCTTTTGGGATTAGAAAGGAAAGGACTAAAGAAGGATACATCTTCTACTGGACTGTGAAAAAGTCTAAAGTTAGAAGACAGGATAATTAGAAAAATATAATAATTGTGCCATATAAAGTATGAGCATATGTGAATTTCAGCTACATGAAACTATGGCTTAAAACTGTAAAAAATAAATCACTTTAAATGATTACATACTATTTATGAATATACATACATGAATATGATCACCCATATCAATGCCTTAAAATGTTAAGTCCTGCAGTCCTAACAGTATTGATCTTTCCAATTTTAACATATATACCATATGTGACTTAAGCCCAACATTGTATGAGTCTCTTAATTCTATTAATCATATTTCTAAAGGTAGTAAGTTACAAACTTGAAGAAAATTCCTGAGTCTCTTCTGATCTGCAATTATCATGTCTTTGTCATTATTTATGCTCCCTCCCTTCTTATCCCATGTTGTATACCACAGGACTCAAAATTAGACACTAAAAAAATATGTTCTGATTTCACTTTCATCCTAATCAAAACACATAGGACTATAAGCAATCCTAGATGACTTTATAACTCTGTAAATCACTCTAGCTATCTTTCGAATACTATGTTCTAGAATTCTAACTGACTAGACTAGAGTTTAAACTATCTCCACCCACTTCCCACTACATTATAACTTCTGTTTCTCCACCCCCAAATGAAGGTTAGGTTGATAAATGGATTTTGGAGATGAAATAAAGCCAGACATCAAATAACTTACTTGAAATCCATCTCTTACCTTCTGTACTTAACCCTGGACTTGATGTGAACTTGGCTACATCAACAATTTTTACAGCAAATTGTTGCCCAGTTTCTCTGTTGATACATCGTCGTACAACACTGAAGGGACCCCTAGAAAAAAAAGCAAAATTTAATTCATTGATTTTACTAAATTCCTATTTCTCTCCAACATCTCACTGATATTTCATCATTTACTATAGCCATAGTTTTCAAAATCAAATTTATGTATTATAATTTTGAACACATTTTTCTATAATTCATGAGGTAAGTAACTGATCATTTAAAGTTATTAATCCAGAAAAAGAAAAAATTTGCATTTCAAAATTACTTTTTAAAATTCTAAATAGCATTCTTATGTTCAAGGAAAAATAATTATTGTAATTATTCTATATATATTATCAACATCTTAAACAAAATAAGAAATTATCACTGGCAATATACATAAATTACATTTTAAACCAGAAACTTGAGTCACTCTTGACCCCTTCCTTTCATCTTATCTATCACCTTCCTAATCTTCAGTAACCAGTCCTATTGAATTTATCCCAAATATCTCTTAATCCTATCCACTTCTCTCCATGACTCATACCCTAGTCTAAACTAATACCATTTTCTACCAGAACTACCTAAAATATTTCCTATTCATACTTGCAGTGATGTTTTAAAAATGAAAATCTGGTATTATATTTCTGCTTAAAATCCCAGAGAGAGGGGGTATGTGCAATACATATTATTTAGTTAGGAACCCAAATACATAAATAATTAAGTAAAATAAGAAAAGAAAATACACTCTAATAAAACCTGGGCAAAACACGTGAACAGGCACTTCACAAAGTGAAAGCCTCACATGATTGGGTCTCCAATAACATCACCTGAGGTCAAAGAGAAAACCTTCATACTTCTCAAACTTCATTTTGGAACTGTTCTAAGCTGCCATGGGGAAGAAAATAATTTCTACTCTCAGAGTGTCACTGGTCCAGTCATTTGCTCACTTAGTCCTCTCCTCAATCTAAATTGGTGGCTCTCAAAACTGGGATGATTGATGAAATACCAATGCCCAGGCATTAAAACACACACACACACACACACACACACACACACACACACACACACACACACAATTTCCTGTGATTGATAGTTATCAAATAAGTAACTAATCTAAAGATAATCAAAAGATAGATTTCTACATTCTTGAATCAACTATTGAATAATACCAAATCCAATAGCAATATACTATAGTTTATTCAAAGGCTAGAATAGTTTCAGTCAGTAAATACACATACATATATGTATATTTTTCCCCTCCTCAGGAAAAAGAAACAGAAAAACACAAAACATCCTCATTGGCTTTATAGGCAAAAACAATATACCTGGAAGCATATGGTCAATCAGGAGATAGAGAAAGGTTCTTCATTTATCTAGGATATTTGTGATTCTGCTTGCCTTAAAGTATAAGTTTATCTTTTTTTCTTTCAATTAGAACACAAGCAAAAGAATACAGTATAACTCAGACTTAAGCATTTCTTTGAGATCATATGAATTAGTTGAGTTCACCATGACATCATCAGGACATTGATTACACTACAGCAGCAAATCTCTCTCTTGAAACAACCTAACAAAGCTAAACTGGAAAAAAAGTAAAGCAATGGTAATAATATACCTTTCAGAACTCTATAGAAATAGAACTCTATAGAACTCTATAGAAACTAGAAGCCCTCCTTAATAGTTTTGAGTGATTTTCCATAATCACTCAAAACTCTTCAAAGATTTTCCTTTGTGAGAAGACAATATAACAAAGTGAGACAGGACTTCCACAAATGTTTTCATTCTCAATCTGGATGTTTTACTTGTGATCACTTATCCTGACAACACCAAGCAATTTTAGGAAAAGCTTAATGTAATTGGTTTCTGTCCACACATAAACCCCAGGACTCATTCTATATATTTGTGTAGTGTGCTTCAATTTACTACATCTTTTTGGAAATTTACCGAGATTTGTATGTGGGATTATTCATGGTCAATGGGTCAATTTTTTACTTTTTCCCATTTGAACAAAGATGAGGAAGAAAGCCTAGCTTGTCCTCCCATTTTTTTAGCAACAGTAGAATGAAGAAAGCTAGTTCTAGAGAAGGGAGAGGAAACAAAACCCCAAACAAACAGAAATGTATTTATATATGTGGATAAATATCAAATCAAATTAATTCTTTAGGCTAATTTTATAATATGAGGCAAAAAATGATTTTATCTATGAATTACTGATGACCTGCAGAGAGATCACAATTACAGCATTTCCAAGGGTATTCTGTACCTCAAGGACATCCAGGGGATTAGCATAATTACACCAAATTTAATACATTAAAAGACACTGAAATACACTTTAAACTTTTTTGTGATTCAGTCCATCAACCAGAAACTGATAAACATTTAAATGAGTATATAATACCTATAATTTTAGCAGGATTTCATTACACTTATTTGATAGGTTAAAGAGAGGCTGACTGTGAGAAAATCTGGTTTGGTTTACCATGTTAAAAGGGGTGAGGGTACAATAAAGTATATATAAAACATGTACTGTATTAACTTATTAATTATACTTGAATGACGGTTTAAGAAATGGCAAAAATTCAGAAGGCCTAGATTTCACTCTGGCCTAAAATATTTTTTGATGCTTGAAATATCATGCTTAAATTTTTTGACTAACATATAGTTAATTCTTGAGTATTTATGTAAGCTATCATGATAAACTACTATGTTTCTCATATTTCCACTAATTCTGGCCAGGATATTATTCATAATGGAATAAGATAATTTAGGGTTTATTCAACTCTTTAAGAATACTGAATATTGATTGGGATTATGGCCCAAGGTTCTGCCTGAGGCAGGTGACTGCAGAAATCTATATTTTTAAGTAAAGGGTCAATTAAACCAAGATACATTACAAGTCAATATTGCTATAAAGTCCCACATGTTTTGAAAAGAAAGCAGCTGTGACTCTATGCAGACATGGAATAATCTCTAGTTTTCATTTATGTGAAGAAAGGTTAAGTCTAGTAAATGAACAATTCTGATAACAAAAGTAAATACATCAATAAAGCTGACTAGAATTAAAGGAAATTATGCTAAAATATAGTATGTTGGTTTCTAGGATAACAGGATAGATTTGGCACAATGCATCTAACTTACTTTCCTCCCAAACACCACTAAAATGAGACCAAGGGGGTTAAAAATTTTTTTTGAAGGACTGAGGGAACAAGAGAAGACAAGAGTAATAATCAAATCTTGGAAGCAAGAAAGCAGATGCAGTAATGGTAACAGGCTTAGCATATTTGGGAAATCTGAATTGCAAAGAGAAATTAAAGAAAGTTCAGAACCAAACCCATTTATACTGCAGAATACTAAGAAGCATTTAAATTGGTAGTGCCAGATTACTCTGGGACTGGAAGGACAGGGTGATGCTGAAATAACAAGGTTTGCATGAAATCTGTTAGAGAAGCAGTTAGAGTCCTAGAAGCCCTCCTTAACACATGCCACTGGATAAATGCTCCAACCTCATTCTCACAAAAGTCCATTCTCTAGAGAGGGTGAAACTTTAGGTCTTAGAACTGGGGACACAGGCAGCTGAGAAAGTGGGTACTATATAGCAAGCAAGGGGATTATGTGCTCACACACAAACTGAATGCAGACAGCTCCAACTCTTCTTCCCATAATAGGAGAGACATTAGAACCTAGATCTTTACCCTTCGGACAGGAGAGGAAAGATTTTCTACTAAATATCTGACCAGCCCACTAGGAAAGATCTAAAGATAATGACACCAAAATGTTCAAACCAGCCAACCAAATCATCCCCCCTTAAACCCAAAGTCAACAAGTTCTGCCAGTAAGTTCAGAGCTCTCAATCTTCTTTCAGTCCCTCTGCTGCAGCTTCCCAACCCTAGCAATTACTGAATTTGGGCTGGATATTTGTGGAAGGAATCCTGTGCCTTGCAGGATGCATAACAGGATCCCCAGCTTTTACGTAAGATGCCAGTAACATCCTCTCAACCAGTTTTTAAAAATTTATTTAATTATTGCTCAAGTACAGTTTTCTTAATTATTGCTCAAGTACAGTTTTCTGTTTTTTTTATAATTAATTTTATTTAGTTATTTTTCAAGTACAGTTTTTTATTTTTCCCATCCCAGCCTCCCCCGCCCCTTGCTCCCCACCTCCCTCCCATTTCCACCCCCCTTAGATCTCGTCCCTGTGTCCTTCCTATTTGTTCCTCCAAATCCCTCCCCTTTTTTCCCCTTAACTTCCCTTCCTTCTCCCCTCTGGTCACTATCCCCTAGTTCTCTATTTCAGTGTCTTTGTTTTTTTTTTCTGCTTGTTTGTTTGTTTTGTTGTTTAGCTTCCTGTTAAAGGTGAGATCATATGGTATTTGTCTTTCAGCACCTGGCCTATTTCACTCAGCATAATGCTTTCCAGTTCCATCCATGTTGTTGCAAATGGTAGTAGCTCCTTCTTTCTCTCTGCAGCATAGAATTCCATTGTGTATATGTACCACCATTTTTGGATCCATTCATTTACTGATGGGCACCTAGGTTGCTTCCAACTCTTGGCTATTGTAAATTGTGCTGCTATGACATTGTGGTGCATAGGTTCTTTGAAATTGATGTTTTAGGATTCTTAGGATATAATCCCAGCAGTGGAATTGCTGGGTCAATAGGCAGGTCGATTTTTATTTTTCTGAGAAAATTCCATACTGTTTTCCATAATGGTTGTACCAGTCTGCACTCCCACCAACAGTGGACTAAGGACCCCTTCTCCCCACAACCTCTCCAACATTTGTTGTTTGTTGCTTTGTTTATGATAGCCATCCTGACTGGTGTAAAGTGGTATCTCATTGTGGTTTTAATTTGCATCTCTCTGATAGCTAACGATATTGAGCATCTCTTCATGTGTCTCTGAATATTCTGTATGTCCTCCTTGGAGAAGTGTTTGTTCAAGTCCTTTTCCCATTTTCTAATTGGGTTGGGTATCTTCTTAGAGTGGAGTGGTGTAAGTTCTTTGTATATTTTGGAGATTAAACCTTTGTCTGAGGTATCATTGGCAAATATGTTTTCCCATACAGTTG